GAGAGTGATGTTAGCAAGATGGCCAACTAGAAGCCTCTACTGCTCATCCCCTCATAAGACAGCCAGAACAACAAATAAACAACTACATTTTAGCAAACTTAACTAAGAGTGCTAGAGTACATCAAAGAAGTAACAGAAATCCTAGTGAGCAGAGGAAAGTGGGGTGGCCACATGGAGAATGGGAGGAAATACCAGGATTCCTAGGATCATCTGGGAACCAGGAGGAGCTTCTTCCTATGGCAAGGAGATAAGAAGATCCCAGTAACCCCCAGCTACACCATGGGCACCAACAGATCTCACCACTGGGGTTCCTTAGAGTCTGGACAGCAACTAAGCCAAGCTGAGGAAGCTTCCTAGAGTCTGCTTAGCTGCGTTCCCTCCAGAGAAGGAACCAACACTGTGCTCTGTCTGCTGTGGCCCTCACAGCTACTGTGCCACTCCATCTTGGAACTGGAACTACTTCTGGAGTGTGTCTTGCTTCGGAGACTTGTAGACATGGCTTCCTTTCATCTGAACCACCCCAGGCTGATGGCTTAACATCCTTAAGCTAAACTTTAAGCAGCTATTACACCCTTCCCTGTGGGGCCAAGTAGAGGTGGAACTACTCCACCTACTTCTACCCCACCTCCCTTGGGCTAGAGCTGAAGCAGCATCCTATTTCCTGGGAATAGGAAGGGAACAGTACCTTGGCCGCCCAGAGCAGTCGTGCACCCCTGTGCCTAAGCTGAAGTGGTATACTGTATTCCAGGTAAACAGGGCCTGAACCACCAGAACAGTCACATTCCCCGGGCCTCAGCTGAAGGAGCACATCGCTCCCTGCAGAATCAGTGTCCTATCCAAGCCAAGCAGCTATGCATCCCAGGGCTGAGCTGATGTAGTACGCTATGTCTCAGGGAAACAGAGCAGTGGCTCAGCTGAGACACCCTGTTCTACAGGCCAAACAACTGTAGTACCCGGCTTCCTTGGAGCTGGACTAGTCTAGAGTCTGAGCTGCTGAGTGAGAGTCATCACTTTGCTGTTCCCTAACCCCCATTCCCAGCCCAAATAATAGCTATGCTTCACTATTTTGTAGTACTTGCTGCTGCAGCTACACCTGGTCTCACAGTCTGGGGTACTGCTCATCCCCAGCTAGTCCAAGATTTAAAGTCATGACTTCATGGTGCCTCATCCTTTGGGACCTGTGTTGCCACTGAGCCCTATTAGCTCATGTTCCCAAATTAAAACCATACCTTGTTCCCCAGGCCCAAACCTCCAGGGAACCCCTTCTTTATAGTCAGGCCATTGCTATGCCCTGATCTCCAGAGGGGTAGAATCAAAGCTATAACCCATTCTCTGGGCCTGAGCTGCCAGGAGGCACCTCCAGGTCACAAATCCTGGCTCTGTGAGCAACCTACATCCAACCCCTGCCACAGAGAGCAAACCCACCTCAGGAACCAAGTGTCTCAATAGGTTTGTGAGATCCTGAGCCTAGGACCTTTGCCCAGTAGTCACTCTGAGCACATTCACCTGGAATCAAGAGCTGCTGCAGCTGCACATATATAGCCCCTGTCAGACCTGACACCAAGAGGTATCCCCTTGCCTAAGTCTCCCCATTGTGGGGAAGACAAGAATAGGAGGATCCTAAAAGCCTTTGACACTGAGGACATTAACAACCTACACTACCACTGTCACAAACTTCTGCAGCCTAGGCCCCTGAGGCACCCATTTACTACTGACATTGAACACAGGTACAGCAGCTGCATGCAGACCATATCACTGCATCTGTCAGGAAACAATCACCACACCTTTTGAAACCAGCATACTGAAACCCAACTGCTAATAAAAGACTTTGTCTTTGAAAGCCATTGTTTGTAGAGTTTGGAAGAGGTAATTATCTTATCAATGCAGAGACACAAAAACATGAAAAAGCAAGGAAATATGACACCACCAAAGGAAAGTAAGAACTCTCTAATGGTGGCCCAATGAAAAGAAGATCAACAGATTGCTGGAAAAGGAATTAAAACTAATGATCTTAAGGAAACTCAACAAGATACAAGAAAATACAGGCTGGGCGTGGTGGCTCAAGCCTGTAATCCCAGCACTTTGGGAGGCTGAGACAGGCGGATCACAAGGTCAGGATATCGAGACTATCCTGGCTAACACGGTGAAACCCCATCTCTACTAAAAAATACAAAAAAACTAGCCAGGCGAGGTGGTGGGTGCCTCTAGTCCCAGCTACTCAGGAGGCTGAGGCAGGAGAATGGTGTAAACCCGGGAGGCGGAGCTTCCAGTGAGCTGAGATCCAGCCACTGCACTCCAGCCTGGGTGACAGAGCGAGACTCCATCTCAAAAAAAAAAAAGAAAAAGAAAAAGAAAATACAGATAGTTCAACAAATCAGGAAAACAATTCACAATACAAAAAATTGAACAAAAAAATCAAAACATGATGAAGAAGAACCAAACAAATCCTGCAGTTGAAGAATTCAATGAATTACATTTAAAAAATACAATAAACAGCTTCAACAACAGACTTGATAAAGCAGAAGAAATAATCTCTGAACTTGAAGATATATCATTTGATATTACTCAGTTATAGAAAAAACAAGTGAAACCCTATGAGACTTATGGGATATCATTAAAGGAACAAATATTCATACTATGTAAGTTACAGAAAGAGGAAAAAAGGTAAAAGATGTATACAAACTATTTAATGAAATAATAGCTGAAAACTTCCCAAGTCTGGAGAGACAGACATCCAGATCCAGAAAGCTCAATGATTCCCAAATAGATTTAACCCAAAAAGGTTCTCTCCAAAGCACATTATTGTCTGTTGTCAAAAGTCAAAGACAGAGAGAATTCTAAAAACAGCGAGAGAAAGGCATCAAGTCACATTTAAGAAAATCCCTGTTCAGCTAACAGCAGATTTCTTCACAGAAACCTTACAGTACAGGAGAGGATGGGATGATATCCTCAAACAGCCAAGAATGCTATTCCCAGCAAAACTATCCTTCAGAAATGAGGGAGAAATACAGTTTTTCCCAGACAAGCAAAATCTGAGGGAATTCATCACTGCTAGACCAGCCTTATGAGAAATGCTCCAGGGAGTCCTACATCTGGAAGTGAAAAGAAAGTAGTCAGTACAATTAAAACATGGAAAAGTATAAAACTCACTGATAGAGCAGATACACAAAGGAGAAAGAGAAAAGAATTAAACCTTACCACTAGACAAAACCATCAAACCACAATGATAAATAATAAGAGAGGAAGAAAGGAGCAAAGGATATTATTAGAACACTATTAACAAAATGACAAAAGTAAGTGCTCAAATATCAATAATAATCTTGAATGTAAATGGATTAAATTCTGTACTTAAAGAGACTGGCTAAATGAATATTTTTTAAATGACTCAATTATATGCTTTCTATAAGAAACCCACTTCACCTATAAAGACACATATAAACTGAAATTGAAGGGATGGAAAAAGTTATTCCAAGCAAATGGAAACCAAAAGCTGTCAGGAATTGCTATACTTATGTCAGATTAAAAAGACATTAAGTTAAAAACTGTAAAAACAGATGAAGAAGGTTATAATATAATGATAAAGGGACCAATTCAGCAAGAGGATATAACAATTCTAAACATACATGTACCCAACACCAAAGCACCCAGATATATAAAGTAAATATTACTCTACATAAAAGGAAAGATAGACTCCAATATGATAGTAGTTGGTGACTTGAACACCCCACTCTCAGCACTGGACAGATCAGCAAACTCCAAGTACAGTGATCTCAAAGAGACCACACTAAGAAACATAGTCAAACTTTTGAAAGCCAAAGACAGAGAAGTGACTTGTCATACACAAGGGATCTTTGATAACATAATCAGCAGATTTCTTATCTGATACTTTGGAGACCAGTGTATTCAAAGTGCTAAAAAAACCAAAACAAAACTCAAAACCCTGTATACGACAAAATTGCCCTCCAAAAGCACAAGGAAATTAAGATGTTCCTAGATAGACAAAAGCTGAAGGAGTTCATTACCACTAGACCTCCCCTGCAAGAAATGCTTAAGGAAGTCCTGAAAGGTGAAATGAAAGGGCACTAGACAGAGGGGACAGTGCAGATTCAGGCACATGCAATGGCTACTGGGGAAGACCCAGCCAGTGGGGCTATTGCCAGCATCCAGTCAGCTGCCGCCTTCCCTGACCCCAGCGTCAAGTGATGCGCAGGGTGATCCAGGTGTGTGAGGGGCAGCTGGATGTCCAGACTGAGGGCACTGGTGCCATCAGTGGCTATCCTGCCACTCAATCCATGACCCAGGTGGTGAACCAGGGTGCTTACACCAGTTATGATGCAGTTAACACAGAGGGGACAGCTGCTGAGATACACTATACTTTCCCACTCCTGCAGTGGGAGATGGGGCAGGGAGTACGACATCAGGGAGTACAGCTGCTGTTGGTACTACCCAGGGCTCAGAGGCACTGCTTGGGCAGGTGACTCCTCCTGGCACTGGTCAATTATTTGTGACGGTGTTACCACAAGGAGTACTGCAGGGAGGAAGCCAGCACTTGATTGCCCCTAGGACTCACCCTTACTTATCAGGACATAACACCATTGTAAATCAAGAAGCATCTCTATCTATCTCTGAACATACAATGTGAAATCACACTGAGGCCATAAAACAGTTGAACCTCATCATAAGAGTGACTCATCAGTGTCACTAATAAGGCCAAGAAAAATTCTATTTTCATGCAGAGACCATTCGTTTTTTAATTAAAAGACAACTCTTTTTCAAAAAGGAAAAAAAATCAACTCTTTTTTCAGCTCTCTCAGATGCAGAAATGTAATTACCAGCATCCCTGTGCTGGGAGCAATCATTAGATTTTTTTAGATTTTTAAAATATACTTCATTATATTTTACTGTATTCATTCTTTAATCAGGGATGTGAGGGATAGAGTAACATTTAGAATATCTGTACAGTTTATATATAATGTTCTTATTTCTTGTTGCCTTTATAGGTGGAAAAAATCTAAAATCTCCTCAAAAAGTAGAGGTTGACGTCATAGATGACAACTTTATCCTGAGGTGGAACAGGAGTGAAGAATCTGTCGGGAATGTGACTTTTTCATTCGATTATCAAAAGTATGTGACTCTACTTACTGATTTGTCAGAATGACCTGAATAATTTTTACAAGTTTAGCACCATAATTTTCAGATTTGGAAAGTATTTGGTTTTTCTATTTTTTAGAAATGTTATGCCTATTTTACATAGTATTTTTAACTTTGTTTCTGTAGAGACTTAGTCAAATACATCTTTGGGTGTTGAAGCAAAAAAATTGGGGATGAGGGTGGTAGACAGCATCTCTAACCCATAGCCATTCCTTCTTTCCTCTGGGTGTTCCAGCTTCTTTCAATATAAGTTGGGATCTGAACTAGGGTGTATCTTGAGGATATGGCATAGTACTCCAAAAGGCCCATCCAAGACCTTGGAATAGGCCACGAGGTTTCCTGTGATCAGGCTTTCCTATTATCTCCATGATATATTTAGTAGAGATGGGGTTTCTCCATGTTTTCCAGACTGGTCTCGAACTCCTGACCTCAGATGATGCACCCGCCTCCACCTCCCAAAGTGCTGGGATTACAGGTGTGAGCCACTGCACCCAGCCAATAATGATTTTTTTAAGAAACTATAAAAGTAGCTTCTGCTGCAATATCTTGATTAGATGTGAAACAGTTTTAATGGAGCATGCATCAGCATCTCCTGAAATAGGAAAGACAGATGTGAACAGTGAGGTTGGGTCGAAATTATATTAAGTTTCAAATTTTTGATAAGGTTTTCTGTTTATAACAAGAGTTTCTGGATTTTTAGAAATAGTTTCTGATGTGGAACCTTTTCAAGAATGTTTAAGATATTTTTAATGCCAGCTCTAATCTCAGGCCTCAGATATGTAAAGTGGAAGTGAAAACTGACCAAGAATGAAGTATTTCATATGCTAGTGTATATTTTTGGTAATTTCTTTAAAATGTTTCCATTTTGAAAAATAAGGTAGACTAGTATTTGGTTCAGCAGCAAAATTATTTTGGTATTATTTCTAGTTTCTAGTATCTAAATCATCTTTAAAATGGCATCTGTGATATTATTAAAAATAAATAAATCAGCTAATGAATTAGGCTTGACAAAAATGCCTTCCCAGAAGATAGTTTCCCTGCTACTTTTACAGTTGATGGGCTTAACATAGGTAAAAGCTTTGAAATCTGCTAAATTGGCCAGGCATGGTGGCCCACGCCTGTAATCCCAGCACTTTGGGAGGCTGAGGTGGGCAGGTCACCTGAGGTGAGGAGTTTAAGATCAGTCTAGCCAACATGGCAAAACCCCATCTCTACTAAAAAAAAAAAAAAAGAAAAAATACAAAAATTAGCCAGACGTGGTGGCACACGCCTGTAATCACAGCTACTTGAGAGGCTGAGGCAGGAGAATTGCTTGAACCTAGGAAGTGGAGGTTGCAGTGGGCCAAGATTGCTCCACTGCACTCCAGCCTGGGCAGCAGAGTGAGACTCTGTCTCAAAAAAAAAAAAAAAGAAAGAAAGAAAGCTACTAAGTTCATTTCTATCCCTCACTTTCCCTGCAATCTCTTCCCCTTTCTGAGCAACATGTCCTTTTCTGCTTTAGGCACCCCCTGCCCACTTGATTTCTTCATGTTTGCACCTTTTTCAAAAGGTAATATCAATCACTTCAACTTTTTGATTGGCCAGTTCCACTTCCAAAAATTAATTTGTTTATGTAAACGTTTTAAGTGGTTTCTGATGATGTAATAGAAGAAATTACGGAGACAGGCAAGCAGAAGGGATGGTCTTTGAGAGGGCTGTGGAAACCCTGAAACCATACTGATTCCGAGGTCTTTCTTAGGGAAGTCTATTCATAGGAGGAGGTCAGAGAGGAATCATCCAATCCAATTCTCCAATTTCTATTTAATTTTATTTTATTAGAGACAGGGTCTTACTCGGTTGCTGAGGCTGGATTGCAGTGATATGATCATAGCCAATGGCAGCCTGCAGCCTTGAACCCCTGTGCTCAAATGACCCTCTCACCTCAGCCTTCCTAGTAGCTAGGACTATGAGCACATGCCACCATACCCTGCTTTGCCTTTTTTTTTTTTCTCATAGAGACAGGGTTTGCTATGTTGACCAGGCTCCGAACTTTCAATAAGGAAGATAAGATCCAGAAACATAAAATAGTTTACCAGAAGTCACACAGCTGTTTTTAACAGAGCCAACATACTAAATCCACTTTTACCTTATAGGTCATTTATTTCTCTGCTTCCTTGAAATCGTAAAGCAACCACCCAAAAAATTATATAAAGAACTGTATTTTAAAATTCAATTTTATAAGTAATAACTTGGCTTATATGCATTGAAAAAGAGTGGAAGGGTGTACCCTAAAATGTTAATAGGACATTAGCTCAAATAGAAGAAATAACTCTAAACTAAAAATAGAAATAACTCTTAAACGAGAGTTATTAAGAGTTAAGAAATAACTCTTAAACCAGTAAATATAAAGTATTTGACACTTATATTTATACATTTGCTCACTCATTCGTTTGTTTTTTTTTTACTTTAAAGACCTGAGATGGATAATTGGATAAAATTGCCTGGATGTCAGAATATTACTAGTACCAAATGCAACTTTTCTTCGCTCAAGCTGAACGTTTATGAAGAAATTAAATTGCGTATAAGAGCAGAAAAAGAAAACACTTCTTCATGGTATGAGGTTGACTCATTTACACCATTTCGCAAAGGTAAGAAAAAGTTGCTAGCTGAATTATATTCTTCAGTAAATATCGCCAGAGCAGTTCACTTTCCAAGCCATTCATTTGCATGATGCAAAATCTAACATCTTTTAAAAAGAACACAAATTCCCTTAAACCTGTATCATCTTCCTGCTATGGCTCTATTTTTCCTGCTTTCCCTGTAGTAGTGGTTCTCAAAGAGTGGTCCTCAAGGCCCTTTCAGGGGGCCGTAAAGACAAAGCTATATTTATGAAAAATCTAAGACTTACTTGCCCTTTTTATTTTGGTTCTTTCTTGTATTCACAGTGGAGTTTTCCAGAGGAGGCTGTTTGATGTGTGATGTGGTGGTATGGTCACTGATTAACATAGAACTCAATGTGAAATTTATCTGCCTTCTTTATTAATCCCAACATTCAAAAGATTTGGAAAAAAATGTAAAACAGCACCACTCTGAAGTTTTATGTTTCTTGTGGCAAATGTTTGTTACCATAAAATAGGTTTATCATTGTTATTTCTTTTTCTTTTTTTTTTTTGAGACAGAGTTTTGCTCTTGTTGCCCAGGCTGGAGTGCAATGGCACGATCTTGGCTCACTACAGCCTCTGCCTTGGGTTCAAGTGACTCTCGCGCCTCAGCCTCCCAAGTAGCTGGGATTACAGGCATGTGCCACCATGCCCGGCTAATTTTGTATTTTTAGTAGAGACGAGGTTTCTCCATGTTGGTCAGGCTGACCTCGAACTCCCAACCTCAGGCGATCTGCCCACCTCAACCTCCCGAAGTGTTGGGATTGCAGGCGTGAGAAACCACGCCCAGTCCATTGTTATTTCTTAATGGATTAATTAGTTAAAATGGATTGAAAACTTTACCAGTTTTAATGTTTAATATGCTAATATAAAAAGATACAGCCCACATAAATAACAGCTGTTTTGGATTCTCAGTAATTCCTTTAAGAATGTAAAGGAGCCGAGTGTAGTGGCTCACACCTGTAATTCCAACACTTTGGGAGGCTGAGGTGGGAGGATCACTTGAGGTCAGAAGTTAAAGACCAACCTAGGCAACATAGTGAGACCCCATCTCTACAAAAAATATATAAAAATTAATCAGGCATGGTGGTGCACAGCTGTAGTCCCAGTTATTCAGGAAGCTGAAGAGGGAGGATCACTTGAGCCTGGGAGATCAAGGTTGCAGTGAGCCGTGTTTGTGCCACTGCACTCCAGCCTAAGCAACAGAGCTAGACCATATCTCAAAAAAAGATGAGAATCTTGAGACCAAAAGGCTTGAGAACCACTGCCCTTGACCAAGAATGATCTGTACTCCGTTTCTATACTACTTACCTTCCCATTCCCTCTCAGTCCACTCCATTCAAACGCTGTTCCTCATCACTATTAAAACCACTCTTTTCGGCCGGGTGCAGTGGCTCACGCCTGTAATCCCAGCACTTGGGGAGGCCGAGGCGGGCGGATCACGAAGTCAGGAGATCGAGACCATTCTGGCTAACACAGTGAAACCGTCTCTACTAAAAATACAAAAATAAATGAAAAAAACTAACCGGGCTTGGTGGTGGATGCCTGTAGTCCCAGCTACTGGGGAGGCTGAGGCAGGAGAATGGCATGAACCCGGGAGGCGGAGCTTGCAGTGAGCTGAGATCGTGCCACTGCACTCCAGCTTGGGCAACAGAGCAAGACTCCATCTCAAAAAAAAAAAAAAAAAACCACTGTTCTCAAGGTCACAGCAGCCTCCACAATGCCAAGCAAATTCCCAGTCCTCTTCTGGCTTCATCCCTCAGTAGCACAGATGTGGTCATCACTCAGTTTTTCCTTTACTGGATCTCTAGGGCACTGCTCTTTCTTGGTTCTCCTCCTGCTCATTGATTGCTTCATCTTCCCGACTTTTCAGTGTTAGACTGCTGCTGGGCTCAGTCGTTGAACCTCTTCTCTTTCTGTATCACTCCACTGGTGATCTTACAGCTTTCTATGCTATCTGTGTGCTCTTAACTCCCAGAAGTGGCAGGCACATAGTTAAGTGCTCAGAATTATTTGTCGAATGAAGGTTTTGGCGTTATATTAATAAAGTTCCAAAGTAACTGTTTTGATTTTTTTTTTTGCAGCTCAAATTGGTCCTCCAGAAGTACATTTAGAAGCTGAAGATAAGGCAATAGTGACATACATCTCTCCTCCTGGAACAGAAGATAGTGTCATGTGGGCTTTGGATCGTTCAAGCTTTATATATAGCTTAGTTATCTGGAAAAACTCTTCAAGTGTAGAAGTAAGCATTGTTTTTACCTTTGTTTAATCGATGTGAGAGAAAAATTAGGTGAATTAATCCTAAAATTTGACTTTATACTTTTTTAAAGAAGCAACTTATATTTTTATTAAAATTAGGTGAATTAATCCTAAAATTTGACTTTATACTTTTTTAAAGAAGCAACTTATATTTTTATTATAGGAAAGGATTCAAAATATTTATTCCAGACATAAAATTTCTAAACTCTCACCAGAGACGACTTATTGTTTAAAAGTTAAAGCAGCACTACTTACGTCACGGAAAATTGGTGTCTATAGTCCAGTGCATTGTATAAAGACCACAGGTAAGGAAGGTGTTTTGTCTTCGTTTCAATAAGTATATATACAAATTGTCAATTTTGGCATCTTTCCCATATTGCTGAAGTTTACATGATAGGTTGATACATGTTTAAAACATTGTAACATTTACATAAGCAAATGTTATTTGGGATTTTTGTCTCAAATAGTAATGAAAATTAATTCTACTTAAAAGTTCAGGCTGGGCGTAGTGGCCCACGCCTGTAATCCCAACACTTTGGGAGACTGAGGTAGACGGATCACTTGAAGCCAGAAGTTCGAGAACAGCCTGACCAACATGGGAAAACCCCGTGTCTACTAAAAATAAAAAGCTGGGCGTGATGGCATCCGCCTGTCGTCGTAGCTACTTGGAGGCTGAGGCACAAGAATCCCTTGAACCTGGGAGGTGGAAGTTACAGTGAGCCAAAATCGCACCATTGCACTCCAGTGGGGAGCAAGTCGGACAAAGAGTAAGACTCCTTCTTAGAAAAAAAAAAGTTCAAATATTTTGTAATGACAAAACTTTTCATTTGTTCAGAATCCACATAAAGCGGGAGGTAGCTGAATATGAGTTCTGCAAATGGGAAGAAAAGGGGGGGAAGTAGTTGCTAGTAGACAAGTTATTCTTCCAGCAAGCATACCTTTGTACATGGGATGTTAAAATAGGAAAGCATCCTGATATATTTAGTCAGTAACATCTTTCCAATAATTAAGGTCAGGGACAGGAGCTGGGATTTGTTTATTTTAATTGTAAATTTCATCTGCTTTATTTTTTTAATCAAACATTACAGAAGGGTTTAAAGTGAAGTCTTTTCCCCCTCCCTTCTTATCCCCAGTTCCACTCACCAGAGGTAAGCATTGCTTGGCAGTTTGTGTATATCCTTTCACAACTTTTTTTCAGGGCTTATGTAAGCATATATACAGACCCACAGTTTCTTGGGTTTTATTTTTTAAATTACAAAATAAAATCTTACTAGTTGTACTTTACAGCTTACTTACTTAACCCAGTTTGTTGGGGATATCATTCCATATCAGTCAATACAGATCTGTTACATTCTTCATTTGATCTTAGCCATCTGTTGCATTCTTTTTTTTTCTTTTTTTTTTTTTTTTGAGACAGGGTCTCACTCTGTTGCCCAGACTGGAGTGCAGTGGCTCAATCTCGGCTCACTGCAACCTCTGCCTCCCAGGTTCATGCGATTCTCCTGCCTCAGCCTCCCAAGTAGCTGGGGTGTGCCATCATGCCCGGCTAATTTTTGTATTTTTAGTAGAAACGGGGTTTCACCATGTTGACCAGGCGGGTCTTGAACTCCTGACCTCAGGTAATCCATCCACCTCAGCCTCCCAAATTGCTGGGATTACAGGCGTGAGCCACTGCGCCTGGCCTGTCGTCTTTCAAATGGCTGCATAGTATTACACAGTGTGAATACAAACCGTCCTTAACTATTACCTTATAATGATAAAATGTGAGCCTTTATCTTCTTGCCAGTTATCTCACTTGAGTAAATGTATGCTTTTTTTTAATCTGTTCTTTGGCTTCTAGTTGAAAATGAACTACCTCCACCAGAAAATGTAGAAGTCATTGTTCAAAATCAGAACTATATTCTTAAGTGGGATTATACGTATGCAAACATGAGCTTTCAAGTTCAGTGGCTCCAGTAAGTTCTATTCTATAAATTTCCTTTTGCCCAGTTTGTTTTGATTATGCTTCTTTTCACTCTGCTTCAGTCACCAGGTCCTTGCACACAGAATGACCAACTGGGAGGTGGGTACGATATATTGGAAACATGAGAAATCTCATTTCTAACCCCAGTTCAGCCAGTAACTAACTGGATGACATTGAGCTAATCGCTTAACCTCCATGGGCCTCAATTTCTTCACTTGTAAAATAGATGGATTCTAATATCTGGGGTTCTTACTGGTTTAAGAAAAAAACAAAAATGTGACTAGTTGGGTGTGTTATTTCCGCAATCTGTAACACTTGACACTTGACCCTGATGTTTTTCTTAAGAACTCTCTTCTTCCATGAGTCCTTACAATGATCTCAGTCCACTCACTTGTTCAATCCAAAAAATTAGCCTTCCTCATTTCTTTATTACTTCAGTGGTTTTGACAAAATTTTGTAGTAGTTACTTCGGTGGGAAAGAAAGTTGGAAAGAACTGTGTTCTATGTGGTTGAGCAGAGGCTAGCTAAACACGGATGAAGTCTAGGCACTGCATTAATGAAAGAGAACTGGCCTGGTGCAGTGGCGCATGCCTATAGTCCCAGCTACTCAGTGGGCTGAGGCAGGAGGATTACTTGAGGCCAGGGATTGAGGCTGCAGTGTGCTATGATCACACCTGCAAGTAGCCGCTGCACTGCAGCCTGGGCAACATAGTGAGACCCCCATCTCTAAACATTAAAATTTTAACAAAACTGATAAAAGAGAACTGCATGTAGTTTATACTGATTGGAAAACTGTAGGAGATGAATAGAGAGAAAAAAGAGAAGAGGAAAATTAAGTAGAAGGAAAAGTGGGTTATGGGGAGAAAAGAAATGGAAAGAAAGATATACATTGGTGGCAGAGGAGTAGAGAGCAAAGGCAAGTATAGCTAAGACAGGAAAGGAAAAGTCAGAAGAAACTAGAAAGAAACAGAAAAAATGAGGGAGAAGGGAAGTGTTAGTACTGCTATGATCAATTTCTCTCTCTCTTTTAGTGTTCATTTTGAACCAAGGGTGACCAGTAGAATGGAAATGCATTTATGTGCATATGTGCCCCACAGTGCATATATAACCTCACAAACCAATCAGGAGACTGTTCAGTAATCTTTTGTGTATACCTAACTTTCAGAAGTGAATAAATAATAGGGTCACCAAATAGATAATGAGCGGTATTTCTGATGGCTGATCTCTAAGCTGCTTTGGGGCACTTAGCATATTGTACAAAGCACTGAAGAAATGGAAAGAGTCAACAGAATCACACATGGTTCTAGAAATCGAAAGCAGTTAGCGGACATTGCAAAGTGTTGTATGGTTTCAGACTAAAGAGTGGTATACAAATTATAAGGGTTGCAGAAATTGAAAATGTAAAGCTGAATAGGGGCTGAAGAGACCAAAGAAGCCATAAGAAAAGAGATGAGGTAGGAACAAGGCCTTGATTGTTAATTCCGATTTTTTTCAAATAGACAAGTATTAGATGTTTTCTGTTTCTGTAACAAATTACCACAGACTTAGCAACTTAAACAGCTATTTATTGTCTCAAAGTTTCTGTGACTCAGGAGTCCAAGCGTGGCTTAGCTGGGTCTTCTGCTAAGCAGTCAAGGAGTCAAGGAGTCAGTCAGTCATACAAGACTCAGGGGCTGCTCCCAAGCTCACATGTTGTTGGCAGAATTTATTTCTAGAACTCATAGTGGCTCACTTCGTAAGAGACTATCAGGGAGGGAGAGTCTGACCTCTAGATCCTTTTTTTTTTTTTTTTTTTGAGAGGGAGTCTCACCTTGTCTTCCAGACTGGAATGCAGGGGCACAATCTCAGCTCCCTGCAACCTCCGCCTCCTGGGTTCAAGTGATTCTTCTGTCTGCCTCAGCCTCCCGAGTAGCTGGGACTACAGGTGTGCGCCACCACACCCAGCTAATTTTTGTAGTTTTAGTAGAAACGGGGTTTTACCATGTTGTCCAGGGTGGTCTCGAACTCCTGACTTCAGGTGATCCACCCGCCTCAGCCCCCCAAAATTCTGGGATTACAGGCATGAGGCACTGCGCTCAGCCAGTTTTTTTGTATCTTTAGTAGTGACAGGGTTTCTCTATGTTGGCCAGGCTGTTTGAAAACTCCTGGCCTCGAGTGATCCGCCCACCTCAGCCTCCCAAAGTGCCGGGATCAGAGGTGTGAGCCGCCGCGCCCACCTCAGCCTCCCAAAGTGCTGGGATCAGAGGTGTGAACCGCCGCGCCCGGCTAAATCCTCTTTGAAGGGGCTCATCTCATTAGGTCAGGCCCACCCAGAATAGTCTCTCGTTTGATTCAACTGATTTGGGACCTGAATTACATCTGTGAAATGGCTTTTCTTCTGCCACTCAATGTAACCTCGTTATGAGAGGAGGGCCTCCATCGTATTTACAGGTCCTGCCCACAGTCAAGAGGAGGGGATTATACAGGATGTGTACACCAGGGGGCAGGAATCTTGGGGGCCATCTCGGAATTTTGCCTTCTTCAGTGGGAAGGATGTCCTTCTAGAGTAGCAGAACATTTGGACACCAGGTTGCAACGGGAAGAAAGCTGAATAAGTAGAATGGGACAAGATTAGGGTCAACCTCAGGTTGTCCTGCAGGCTTTTGGGGATTTTGTGTTGGGGTGATGGGTAACCTGCGCTCTGGATTTGAGGAAGGTGTGCATGGCAATGTGGTATATGGGAGAGTGGACTAAGAAGAAGACACTAGAGAGAGACAAGGAAACCAGTCAGGAGGCTGTTAGAGTTCTGGGCTTGAACTGAGGTGCTTTTAGCTCCTGGTTCCTGGGCAAGTTACTGAACCTCTTTAGTCTCGTACTTATACTTGCTCTCATAACCCTGCAGTGTGTCTCTATTTTGGTACTTATCCTCTGGTATGCTGGCGCATGTTTAGCAACTGGCTTTCCAGAAAGAAAAAGTCCTATTTTGTAGTGTTTGCTGATTTTCGTGATATAAATATTCCCACCATGGCCACTTTCAAGCCACCAGCCTGATGTCCCTGAACATGGAGTTGGGAAGATATGCACAGTAGCACACCACTGTCGTATAGCTACAATAGATAAAGATAGCCCCAAGAGCTTAGACAATAAAATGTAGTAAAATAGTTAGGACAAGATGAATTTATTTATCACCTCTGTCTTTAAAACAATTTTGATTTGCAAATTTTTATAACTTAATTTTTAATAATGGTTTTTGTTTAAAAACCAGTTTGCACTTTGGGAGGCCGAGGTAGGTGGATCACCTGAGGTCAGGAGTTCGAGACCAGCCTGGCCAACATGGCGAAACCCCGTCTCTACTAAAAATACAAAAATTAGGCAGGCCTGGTGGCGTGCGCCTATAATCCCAGCTACTCAGGGGGACAGAGGCAGGAGAATTGCTTGAACCCAGGAGGTGGAGGTTGCAGTGAGCCAAGATCCTACCACTCCACTCCAGTCTGGGTGACAGAGCGAGACTCGGTCTCAAAAAAAAAAAAAAAAAAAAAAAAACCAGCTTGCAGCAGTCCTGGAAATTCTAACTAACAGATGTTCTTGCACATTGACATAAGCCACCTGCAGCAGAGCACAGCGTGATCACAGTGTGGAACAATGTTTGGCTTTCTTTTATGTTAGATGCATATCTCCACCATTGTTTGTGAGTTTCCTGAGGGTGGCTACTATTTATTTCTGTAACCTGAGCCCCCAACACAATGTCTGGCATATTGTACATACTTAATAAATATCTATTGAATTAATGTGTGGTTGAGTTTAAAAATTGTTTGTCTTAAAAGTGCCTTTTTAAAAAGGAATCCTGGAAACCATTTGTATAAATGGAAACAAATACCTGACTGCGAAAATGTCACAACTACCCAGTGTGTCTTTCCTCAAAACACTTTCCAAAAAGGAATTTACCTTCTCCGCGTACAAGCATCTGATGGAAATAACACGTCTTTTTGGTCTGAAGAGATAAAGTTTGATACTGAAATACAAGGTAAGGCAGTAGTTTTTACTGGAGATTGTAATTCTCTGATTTGGTACAAGTTCTTAAAATTGTTTTTCTAATCGAACATTATTTCTTTACAAATTTTTCTAGCTTCCCTGCTTCCTCCAGTCTTTAACATTAGATCCCTTAGTGATTCATTACATATCTCTATCGGTGCTCCAAAATGGTCTGAAAACAAGCCTGTGATCCAGGATTATCCACTGATTTATGAAATTCTTTTTTGGGAAAACACTTCAAAGGCTGAGGTAAAAAGACTATAGTATAATTTTGTAGCTTAGAGTTATAACTGTGATTTAGGTAAATAAAGCTTGAATTTAAAATTTGGGGGAAATTTTTAAACTTTTATGTGGGCTGAGTGCAGTGGCCTGTAATCCCAGCACTTCAGGAGGCCGAGGCGAGAGGATCACTTGAGCCCAAGGGTTTGAGACCAGCCTGGGCAAAATAGGGAGACCCTGTCTCAAATAAAAATTTTTAAAAATTAGCCTGGTGTGATGGCGTGCACCTAATAATTCCCAGCTACTTGGGGTGGGAGGATCGCTTGAGCTTCAGAGGTCAAGCTTGCAATGAGCCATGATCATGCCACTGCACTCCAGCCTGGGTGACAGAGTGACTGACAGCCTGTCTTAAAAAAAAAAAAAAAAAAAAAAGGCCGGGCGCGGTAGCTCACGCCTGTAATCCCAGCACTTTGGGAGGCTGAGGCGGGCGGATCACGAGGTCAGGGGATCGAGACCATCCTGACTAACACATGAAACCCCATCTCTACTAAAAATGCAAAAAATTAGCTGGGCATGGCGGCAGCCGCCTGTAGTCCCAGCTGCTTGGGAGGCTAAGGCAGAGCTTGCAGTGAGCCGAGATCGCGCCACTGCACTACAGCCTGGGCAACTGAGCAAGACTCCATCTCAAAAAAAAATAAGGAGTGATTAACTCAGATATTTGCAGAATGAAGAACATGAGCATTTTTCATGTTTTGTACTATAGAGTTATGGGTGAGCTACATCTGGGCGCAGTTTACTTTTAAAATACAGATTCCTGAGCCTGTTGTTACTGAATCTTTATCTCTGGGGATGGAGCTCATGAATTTGCATTTTTTTAACATGATTCCTATGTATTCATCTAAACCTGGGTTTCTTAGCACTACTGACGTTTGGGCTGGATAGATCCTTGCGGGGCCGGGGGGACTGACCTGTGCAGTGCAAGATGCCTGGCAGCATTCTGGCTTCTGCCTACTAGATGCCAGTAGTGTTCCTTCCTAGTTGTGACAACCAAAAATATCTCCAAATATTGTCAAATGTCCTCTGGTGGCTCCTCCAAGGGGACAAAAATTGATTCTCATGGGACAAAAGAATCGATAGTACAGTTGTTTTTATTCCTCCAAAACCATTGGAAAACATTCTTCCAAAGTTCAGCTTTGCCCAACAAAATGTTATTCCTTAGTCTTTAATTTTATGATGGGGGAAGGATTAGAAAAAAATTTCCCAAAAAGTAATGAAAAAAGGGTTGACAAACACTGGTCTAAACCCTAAAATTCAGGTACCACTGACAAAGATAATATACACCATCAGATAATATACGTGTTTCCCAGATCACTTCTTCCTTGTGGAGTGTTAGTCAAGGATCTACCTTTAAAACTCCTGTCCAGGCAGGCTGGTGAATTCTTTCACTTTGCTTCATTTTCTATTGGAAATCTAAGCAAATTCCATTGATTTGGCTGCTTCCCTTTTTCACTGTCTAACAACACTGTAACCATAGCATAATGTAGCCCATTGAGAATTATAGTCAGTTTTCAGATGTCTGTAGATCAGACAAACCTAAATTTCTATCTCGCACTACTAAATTGTGTAACGTTACTCAAGGTGCTTTATCTCTTGGAGACTTTGCTTCCTCTTCTCTGAAGTGGTGGTAATCATAACAACTAAATTTTTCAAAAGGATGTTTATAAGGTTTAAAAGGAAGTAACAGATAGCAAATACCTAGCACATGGCTGGACAAGTAGTAGAGATTCAATAGATTGTAGTTGCCATCTTATCCTATACTGGATCATATATCAGTAATTATTATCATAGAAACTCTTATTGAATACTTATATGTAAGGTACTATGCTAAGTATTGCACATGAATTGTCTGAATCATTCTTCAAAACAACGCTGCCAAATGATGTGATTGGTTAAATTGCTGTTTGGCAAATACTTGGGATGGTGCCTTCATCCCGGCATCACCAGACTGTAGATGCTGGAGCCCGAGTAGATGTGCTGAGAGCAGAGGCCTTAAGTGTGCTTGCAGGGTTTGGCTTGGCTCTTGTGCTGCTCCTGTTTGCCAGGGAGAAAGCATATTCCACATAGTCTCTGGTCCAAGGAGGATTAAAGGCTGTTGGAGCTGACCTAAACCCGATGCGATGCACAGCCTCCATGGGAGCTCCCCAGCCAGTCTGTAGACTTGTGAGTGAGAAACTACATAATCATGTTGTGAGCCACTGAATGTTAAGGCAGTTTTGTTATATCTTTTTTTTTTTTTTTTTTTTGAGACAGGGTCTCATTCTGTCACCCAGGCTGGAGTGCACTCATGTGATGTCAGCTCCCTGCAGCCTCGACTTCCTGGGCTTAAGCGATCCTCCCACCTCAGCTTCCCAAGTATCTGGGACTACAGGCACATGCCACTATGCCCAGCTAATTTTTTTGTATTTTTGCTAGAGATGGGGTTTTACCATGTTGCCCAGGCTTTGTTTGTTTGTTTGTTTTGGAAATAGGGATTTCCTCAACCTCCCAAGTAATAGAGACTACAGGCTCACACCACCATGCCTGGCTAATTTTTTTGAAATTTCTTGTAGAGACAGAGTCTTGCTATGTTGTCCAGGCTAGTCTTGAACTCCTGGGCTTCAATGATCCTCCTGCTTGGCCTCCCAGAGTGCTGGGATTACAGGTGTGAGCCACAGGCTTGTTAGACATTATTCTGGCAATAGCTGACTAATACAGATAGGAGCAATAACTGTCCGAATTTTACAGGTCAGGGAATCAGGCAGAGAGAAATTAAATAACGATTGCAAGACTACACAGCTGTAAGTGATACCTCTTCATAAGGCAGTTTGAGGCCCAAACCCGTACTCTTAACCATTCTGTCACTAATCAGAGGTAATACAATGGCAATTACCCCAGACTTGGCATGTACTTATAAATCAATTAGAATTCTCTTAGGAATAGATCATATGATTTTTGGCAGCAGCATTTTTAACTTTCTGATTTGGATATAGTGGTTTGTCTAAAACAAATTTATATTTCTTACACATATACCCTGTAATCCCAGTGCTTTGAGAGGCTGAGGTGGGTGGATCACTTGAGGCCAGGAGTTCAAGACCAGCCTGAACAACATGGTGAAACCCCATCTCTACCAAAAAAAAAAAAAAAATAGGCGTGGTGGCACACGCCTGTAATCCCAGCTACTCGGGAGGCTAAGGCAGGAGAACCACTTGAACCCGGGAGACGGAGGTTGCAGTGAGCCCAGATTGCACCACTGCACTCCAGCCTGGGTGACAGAGCGAGACTGTCTAGAAAAAAAAACAAACACGTACCAACTACGTGGGAGAGGCCAATGTTAGACTGAACATAAAAGAATTGAGAAAGTACATATTCTCTGATTTCATGAGGTGACTAAATTTTATCAATGATTTAATTATATTTTCTAGAGAAAAATTATCAAGAAAAAAACTGATGTTACTATTCCTAATTTGAAACCACTGACCGTATACTGTGTGAAAGCCAGAGCACACAGCATGGATGAAAAGCTGAATAAAAGCAGTGTTTTCAGTGATGTTGTGTGTGAGGAGACAAAATCAGGTCAGAATCTTTTATTATCTCTTAAAAATGTGACTAGACAGAATGAAAGTAATTCTATACTGAACACTGAAAATTGTAAAACATTTTCTCTTTACTGCAAAAAATATATAGAATGTTTTCTTCTTGAACTACATAAATCAAAAGTAGACTTTCTAGAAAATATTTGTAAATGCATAACTCTCAAGTTGGTGTTGTTGGATGCTTTATATTTCATCCAGTAGCCCTATAATTAATTTCCTTCATTTATTGCTCTTTAACATTTAATAAGACTATTAGTTTAAAATTTTAAAAATATCCTTAACATAATTATCATGTAGAAATCACTTAGTTCCATTTTGAATTTTTTTAATGTGGGAACTGGTTTAGTCTCATTTTCTATTTTACAGTTTCTAGTGTTGACTGGTAGAGGCTTAGTCACAGAGTAGCTATTAAATTTTGCTAGTTGTATGACATACGTGTAAGTGCTGAAGGATACTTGCATGTTTGGCCTGTATGTCAATATTGTATTTCTCCCTGAGGATCTCTTCAGTTCCCACGCCAATCTTTAAATGTAAATGTCATTGTCTATGGTTGGTGTGGACTCAGTGCTACCAGAAATATTTTTAAGAGTATTATTTAATAGATTTTATATTTCCTTTCATATGGCTTGTCTTTCACACAGCTGTCAGCACTGTTAGGGCATTTGTATGTCAAAACATATAAATATCATGTATATCTTTTTAGGAAATACATCTAAAATTTGGCTTATAATTGGAATTTTTACTGTATTACTTGCTCTCCCGTTTGTCATTTATGCTGTGAAAGTCCTCTTGAGATGCATCAATTATGTCTTCTTTCCATCACTTAAACCTTCTTCCAATATAGATGAGGTATGTTACTTTCTTTATATTTTTTTTTGTCAACAGCTAGGAAATGAACAGGAAATGTGTTTGATTTCAACAGGATATATATAGGTTTTCTTGATATCCAGAAAATAAGAGAGACTGATTTGGGTATTTTCTTCAAAGTTTTAGTCAATTAACTTTAAAAACAGTAATTTAATATAAATAACATAGCATGGGATAGTAATGATTGTCCTTAATTTCATATTTTTCTGGCAATTCTTAGATTCACTGTGGCATTTGTTTTACCATTTAAAGCCTGTGATTCTTGGCCAGGCGTGGTGGCTCATGCCTGTAATCCCAGCACTTTGGGAAGTTGAGGCGGGTGGGTCACTTGAGGTCAGGAGTTTGAGACCAGCCGGCCAACATGGAGAAACCTTGTCTCTACTAAAAATATAAAATTAGCTGGGCGTGTTGGCACACGCTTATAATCCCAGCTACTCGGGAGGCTGAGGCAGGAGGATCGCTTGAACCCAGGAGGTGGAGGTGGAACCCAGAGCAAGACTCTGTCTCTAAATAAGTAAATAAATAAAGTCTGTGACGTAATTCTTTTCAGTGCAGACAGTCCCCAACTTACGCCGTTGGAATTATGTCCCGCATTTGTCAGGACATAATTCCATTGTAAGTTGGGAGCATCTGTATATATCCAGAAGACTGAAATATTCTATCAGTGTAGAAAGCGTATTATATAGGTGAAATCACACAAAATGAAATAAAACATGAGACTTTTTTTTAATGACACTTCACAGTTTTTTTTTGGCACTTCTGTGAAGTTAGCATATTAAATGAAAGCACTAAATGGTGAAGGCCTAAGCATAGAATCTGTTCCTGGGAAATGATGCACTCATCTGGGGTGGCTTTTATGAATTTGAGCGAGTCACTAAGGGCAGGTAAGCAAGTACCCTTGACTGTAAACTACCCCGTAGAGGTGTGAGGAACAAAGGAGATAAACCTTAAGAGCCTTACCACTCTAAAAATGCTCAGTAAATACTAACAATTTTACTGTTACACCCCTGAGCACAAGAATGTCATTCTGTGTACTCTAATATTCATAGCTATTATTTAAAATAGACTTAAAACTAGTTACAATAGCTAATAATTTCTCACTTGTGCTTCTTTTGGATATCTATGGGTTAGATACAAACATTTTTATTATTTCAAAAAAAAAATGTCATGACCCCAGAGCCCTCCCACTCCTGTCCTTTCCCATGTTCTTCCCCGCCTACCCCTGATGGCACAGTGTTCCTTTCTTAGGTACTTTTCAAAGACTCCCACAAAAGGTACTAAGATAAGAGTGACCTCACTAATGATTTTAAACATTATAAGGCAATTAGTATGTTCTTAGGTGACTTTTTAATATGCAGACCAGAAGATAGGTTTTCTCAGTAATGGACATAAGAAACTAAAGCTATTATAACTAGAAAAGGAATTTTTATTATTTTAAATAATTGATTTCTACTCTTTCCCTTTTTTTAAATTAGTATTTCTCTGAACAGTCATTGAAGAATCTTCTGCTTTCAACTTCTGAGGAACAAATCGAAAAATGTCTTATAATTGAAAATATAAGCACAATTGCTACAGTAGAAGAAACTAATCAGAGTGATGAAGATCATAAAAAATACAGTTCCCAAACTAGCCAAGATTCAGGAAATTATTCTAATGAAGATGAAAGTGAAAATAAAACAAGTGAAGAACTACAGCAGGACTTTATATGACCAGAAATGAACTCTGTCAAGTATAAGGTTTTTCTGCAGGAGTTACACTGGGATCCTGAGCTCCTTGCCTTCCTCTCAGTAACTACAAAGAGAACATTTCCCTGTTTCGGGGAAGAAAAAACATCTTCAGATCATAGGCCGTAAAAATACAGGCAAGCACTTTACTATTTAAAAATGAAATTACAGGCCCAGGCACGGTGGCTCATGCCTGTATCCCAGCACTTTGGGAGGCCAAGGCAGGCAGATCATGAGGTCAAAAGATTGAGACCATCCTGGCCAACATGGTGAAACCCCATCTCTACTAAAAGTATAAAAATTAGCTGGGCATGGTGGCATGTGCCTGTAGTCTCAGCTACTCAGGAGACTGAGGCAGGAGAATCACTTGAACCCGGGAGGTGGAGGTTGCAGTGAGCCGAGATAGCGCCACTGCACTCCAGCCTGGCAACAAAGTGAGACTCTCTTTAAAAAAAAAAAGAAAGAAAATAAAGAAAGCAATTATAAGAGTTGAGACAAACGTTTCCTACATTATTTTCCACGTGTAAAATCTTGAAAAAGCCTGTCATTGGACCTGCATTGGATGAGATGAGTCAGATCAAAACGATGGCCACCTGTCTCCCTCTTGCGAGCCTAAGTGCAACTGTGCTCACTGTGCACTGTGGCTAAGGATGATGTGTGTGTTCCTGTCCGTCACTGATGCTGCTGGTTACTGCATGTGCCACACCTGTCTGTTCGCCATTCCTAGCATTCTATTTCATTCCTCCTCTGGAGATATTTCAAACATTTGGTCTTTTAACACTGCGGTTAGGCCCTCAGGAAATTTATTTAGGAAAGTCTGAACACGTTATCACCTGGTTTTCTGGAAAGTAGCTTAGCCTAGAAAATAGCTGCAGATGCCAGAAAGATGATCCCTAAAAATGTTCAGGGACTTCTGTTCATTTATCCCAAGAACATTGGCTTCTACATCACAGTATCTACCCTTACATGGTTTAGGATTAAAGCCAGGCAATTTTTTACTGCACAGTAAGACTTCTGATTCAAAACTTACTAGAACCATAGTTTCTGGCTGGAATTTGCAATCCCTGAAGTCCTAGAAAATAAGTAACTATCTAATTAGAGAAATAATTGTTGTATTTTAAGATCTGAGAGTGCGAACAAGTTTTAATATACATGCCATGCCAGAAGATAGTGTATGCAAGAAGTCTTGGGACCAGAAAATGGCCATGATGGGAGACTGACACAGAAGAAGAATGCTTCCATAGGAAAGAGGTCGCTGGCCTTGGTGCAAGAGGAAGAAGAATGTTCCACTGGGAGCCTGAGCGCCTAATCAGCTCTCAGTGATGAACCCACTCTGTTGTTATGGGTGGTCTCTGTCACTTTGAGTACCAGGCTGGCTTCTCTGCACTGTCTAGCGGTATTCAGATACCCCTTCTGCTCAGCCTGCTTGGCCTTAAAATACAAATCATTGAACTGAGGGGGAAAAAAATGTAACTAGGACGAAAAACCTAATTTAAGAAATCACATAATGCTTTCCAAAGGCATCTACAACTTATTTTTAAATTACTTGCTACTGGGGATTACCCATGGATATCCTTAATAGGCAGGAAGTCTGGGAATTCTGGTGGCCTCTAGGGCAGAGTTCTCAGAGCACCGTTCCGGCAAGGACCAGTGAAAGAGAAAAGAGACAAAGTTAGAGCGTGCTGGGAAGCGGCCATTGCTAAGGCCAGTCTGATTTAAGTAGTCATTTCTGCTGAAAAAACAGATCATCCTGTTGGAAGAAGAGGTTGAAGGCAGCTGCCCTCGGGAGGGCTGTGGTGCTCAGCACATCCTGGGCACGTAACGTGTCTGCCACACCATGCGTGTCCCCGGACCTGCCACCTGGCTTCTGGAGTGGTTCAAGCAGAGCATAGTGAGCCATTGAGGAGACCCAGGAATCTCCTCTAAGACCCAGCTCTCTGCCGGAGAACCCCACACTGACACATTTTCATCTTTCAGACCAGAGGCTGTGTTTTTGAGACTGTCTCACTCTGTTGCCCAGGCTGGAGTGCAGTGGCTTGATCTCGGCTCACTGCAACCTCCGCCTCCCGGGTTCAAGTGATTCTCTGCCTCAGCCTCCCGAGTAGCTGGGATTACAGGTATCCGCCAACACACCCTGTTAGTTTTTGTATTTTAGTAGAGACGGGGTTTCACCATGTTGGCCAGGCTGGTCTTGGACTCCTGGCCTCGTGCTCCACCCACCTCGGCCTCCCAAAGTGCTGGGATTACGGGTGTGAGCCACCATGCATGGCTGGCCTGACCTTTGGAAAAGCCCTGTCACTTTGGAAGTTTGCGTCTTTGAAAAGGCGATTGGAAACATATCCTGACTGCCTGCCACCATTGCTTATCAGACTACTGCAATTCAATGATCCTGCCCAGGACTTCTGGCCCTGGGTTCACCACTGGGAAAATGTGCTTCAGACTGGATAGCCTAAAAAGGAGTAATAATGCCCTTGTAGGTTGTGGAGAAGGGAAAATATGACAGCAGTGAAATTGTTAGATCTCTAGGAATTTGGAGCACAGGGCTTTACGTTTTGAGACCATCTGTGGTTTTCAGTGAACAAGCACTGAGCACCCGCAGCAAAAAACAACAACAACAAAAAAAAAACCTCGTTTTTACCTCGTCTTCTAGACATTAAAAGGCAGTTGCTTTCCACTCTTCATTATGTTCTACATGTTGCTTCATCAGCATATGCCTAGCTGTTAGTGACAAGTATATTTTCTGAACAGAAGTTTACTTAGAAATACCATGTACTTGGGTGTACCAATTAACTGCCTTAAAATTAGCATATTGGTAGTTCTTGGAGAGACCAAGTATAATCTAAGAATTTATATGAAAGATTTGTATCATTAGAGCCAGAAATAATTTTGTATTAATATATAATACAGATTAACATATATGTACCTGTGTAACTTTTGACATGAGCCTGTAAACATACTCATATATGTACCTGCACATGTACCCACGTGGTGTGGGTGTTATTCCTTTAGTATGGACTTAAAGTACTTATTCGTATAGCTTGTAACTAAAAATTAGAACAGCTCCCTAGAATTACGAACTTTAAGAGTCTGACCAGAAATTTGCAACTTACAAAAAAGTTACTTTTAAAAATATAAGTTAGGGCTAGGCACTGTGGCTCATGCCTATAATCTCAGCCCTTTTGGGAGGCAAAGACAGGAGGATCACCTCAGGCCAGGAGTTCAAGACCAACCAACCTGGGTAACATGGCCAGACCCCATCTCTAAAATATATGTATATATACACACACACACACACACACATATATATGAGTTATATCTAGAGAGAGAGATATGTATATGATATATTGTATATATCATATATATATAGTATGTATCTCATATATATATATAACTTAGAGTTTGTATCTTCCCCCAAAAGAGGCTGTAATATTTACAGCAGCCTCAAATTGCTCGTAAGGGGTTTGGGTGTGCAGAAGCTTTCCTTTCCCTACCCAGGGCCCTGTGACTACCTAACATGTTGTGTACTGATCTGTTTGCTGGCTGTCTCCCCTGCCCCACTGCTACAACAGAGGCTCCAAGAGAGCAGGGACTTTATTATTCATTACTGCATCCCCAGTAATGAAGGTACTTAGAAAATAATTATTGAATGAATGAAATCTAAACTGAATCTGAGGGTGTTTGTGGCAGTGTTTGTTTTATCGAATTGTAGAAGGACATAACCGTGTGTTCAGTGTTTTTGTGCAACAAACTTGTACATTTTATTTCACTTGTGTTTTGTCTTAAACCCTACTGCTGGAAACAATTTTATACAATAAGCAATGGGCCCAAAAGTCTGGGGGTTTTTTTGTACTTAGTGCGTTTGTATGCAACAGAGATGCTGCAGCTGATGCCTTTAAACGGTATTCATCATGGAAGGGCTGAGGCCTGTGCTTGGTGTTCCACAGCCCAGGGTTGGGCATCCTGAAGGAGCCAGTGCAGCCGTCACTGTCCCCAGAGCCTGTGGAGATAGACCCCGTTTGCTGCTTTTTCTTCCCGCTCTCGAGACATGGCTGGAGCACAGTCTTCATTGAATGAAAGTCTGCTGTGGTATTGCACAGCCTTGCTTTCTTGAACTAATCTGTTTGCCCTTCACAAGTATTTCTTCTGTCAGGATTAGTTCGTTCCAAGGAGGCTCGTCAGTCTCACAGGTAAGTAGATCTCTCCTGCCGTCTGGACACGTTTCACTCGGAAGTTGAATACAATTTGTATTCAGGCTGGGAACCTGAACACACACTTGTGTTTCTAAGCTTCCCTTTTTTACAGTGGACAAGGACACAAATAATACATAAATCATCCCTAATGCCCAAGAAATGCCCTGTTACTTAGTAATGACAAAATACCGGTAACTTCCAGTTGTTTCTCACTGCCTTTTTTCTTGAGTAGGATGATAACAGAATTACAACTCTTGAGGGCAACATATAGGTGGATATTTGTGGTGTGATATTGATGGAAAAATAGCGATCTTTTTCTTTACCTGAGGGAAACAAAGGCAAGAGGGGAATTCGATAGTGCCTCGTAACAAAGGATTTCTGAGTTTTGCTCCCTTTTCTGTGATCTGTCTCCACCTGGAACTCATGTTCTAGCAAAAGGCATTTTGTAGGTGAAGAAGTGATTGATGATGAGCATGAAGAAAATGTTGGCAGTTCCAGCCTGGCCAACATGGTGAAACCCCGTCTCTACTGAAAATACAAAATCTAGCCAGGCATGGTGGCACGCGCCTATAATCCCAGCTACTGGGGAGGCTGAAGCAGGAAAATCGCTTGAACCTGGGAGGTGGAGGTTTCAGTGAACTGAGATCGCGCCACTGCACTCCAGGCTGGGCGACAGAGGGAGACTCCATTTCAAAAGAAAAAAAAAAATGTTGGCAGAGAAGATATTCTATTGGCTTTTTTTTTGTTAAGGTCTTGGGAAAAGGGAGGAAGTTGAAAAAGTATACCACTCAGTAGCTGAATTAAATTAAACATTACTTCTCACAGTGACTCACCACCCTTGGGCCTCCCTCCCAGATTTTCTGGATCCATAAAGTTAAGAAGAAAAACCTATTTTCCTATCTTTCCAGTAAAAGGACCCTTTTTTCTAAGCATAGTCCTTAAATATATAATAGGCTTTTTGTGTACTTGACTCTGTCTATTCCCAAATTTTATAATATTTTTAATATTCTGGAATTGTACTTAGAGGAAGAGATGATTCTGAATGTTGTAGTATAAAAGTACATCCTCCACTCTGAAATCTCCCTGAAAGACCTCCCCTGCATACATGTGTAGAATTCATGCCCTGTCTGTGCCTGCACCTGCGGGTGTGTCTAGCGTGCTCCCTAGGGAAGGGATTTTTATACCATTTGCCTATATTTGGCAAGCTCCATGAAAGCAAGGACTGTTTTTTAACTTTGTGACTGACACTTGGTTACCTAAGTGTTTCACAGTGATTGAGTGGGGACGTTGACGGTACAGACACTGAGTACCACTAGGGGGCAACAAGTCACCCTGTTGAGGCTGACAATCGGTTACTATTCAATAATTCGATTCCCCGAAGATGTTTATACAGGTGGTTTCTTAAAGTTCTGTTTGTGATTATCTCGAGCAAATGAGGAAAGGAAGCTAGATGTGAAGAATCTTGTGTCCCCATGCTCTCACCCAGAAATGGTTTGGTAGTTACAAAGCAAGGTAGAGCAGTTGAGCAAATAGCCCACCAGGTCCTCTACCGCTACCACCTTCGCCTTTGAATGAGCAGGACTTTGTAGTAAGCGAGTTGTTGAAAAGGAGCTCCACATCCTTAGTACCAGCCTTGGAGCGGGTGGGAAGAAGTAGGCATTGCTGCAGAGCTGAGATGAACCTGCAAGGAGATCATTTCCTCTGGGAATGATCACTGCACTGCGCCTGGCTGAGATGACTCATTAGCTGTGATTCCCTTCCTTAGTCTCACCTGTTGAAGATGGCGCAGAACAGTTAGAGCCGTGATCAAAAAAGATAATACTTTAGGGTCTCCTGTCCTATGCGCCCCCAGGGAGAGGCCAGACCATTCAGGGTACCAGCTGGAGGTTATAACTAGGGTGGAGTGTGGAGACAGTGTTTTGTATCACTACTTCCTTTTTTTTTTTTTTTAGGCAGTTTCGCTCTTGTCACCCAGGCTGGAGTGCCGTGAGGGGATGTCGGCTCACTGGCTCACTCCAACTTTCACCTCCCAGGTTCAAGCAATTCTCCTGCCTCGGCCTGCTGAGTAGCTGGAATTACAGGCGCCTGCCACCATGCCCAATTAATTTTTGTATTTTTAGTAGAGAGGGGGTTTCACCAGTTTGGCCAGGCTGGTCTCCTAACCTCAGGTGATCCACCCTCCTCGGCCTCCCAAAGTGCTGGGATTACAGGCATGAGCCACCGGGCGCCCGGCCACTGCTTCCTTTGTCCACTGTACCCAAGAAATAGCCTATTATAAATGGCCTATACATTTTCCTCTTTCTACAGGGCATTGTGTAAAATCTTTAGTTCAGTTAACTCACATGGGAAGGACGGACTAGAATGCTTTCCTTTCGTCTTAATTCAACTAGTTAGCTCAGGGCCATATAAAATGATAGTTAATCGCTTTTAGAAAATGCAAGGGAGCAAATACAACTTTTCCCAAAATGATAGGCAAATGAGTTTGTTAGGTATACTCTGAAATTTTCTCCCAAATTTCTCTACAAACCATGAAACAGTATCTTCATACATTTTACTCAGAGGGTTCATCTTAAGCGCAACTTTTGTATTACTGAAAATTACTTGCATCTCACTGAAAATCTGTTCCGAGTTATATTGACTTTTTGCAATATTTACAATCTTTTTGACTGCATACATGATAGGAGGAACATGGAATGGCTTTCTGATAAAGGAAGAACAGGTGTCAGGTCCTTAATTTCACCATCTGGCACTTCTTCCTCCCAGTCACACATCTATAGTTCAGACACTCCCCAAAGGGCTCAGCTGAGAAGAACTG